TGGTTTTTCGAATTCCTTAGATTTCTTGAGAGACCCTCGTATTTTAACAAACTTGTTTTTGTGTTTGCGGACCCTCCCTTTTTACCTCATTCAAAAGTTTTCAAACCGTCTCTAATTTTAAAAAATATAGGGAATTGATGCATTCACCGTCTAACTGAACAAAACGGGGTTGTTTTTTTCAATATTAAATAAACGGGGATCACCATATTAGTGAAGATTTCTTTGTTTTTATATGCTATTCATATTATTTTTTATAATACATACATATGTACATATTATTTTATTAATGTTAGCTACATACCTTCTTTTTTCTTCTCTGCCGCCTCCTTTTCTGCCTTTAGAGCTTCCTCAGATTTAAGAGTTAACAATACGAGAGTGACTATTCCCTCGGCGCGTCTTATCAGAGCAACAGCCTATGATGAAAAAATATTAGTTACAATTAAAATTTTTTTCATCGACAGAATAACTAACCATGTCATAATTTGAAAGAAGACATCACAGAGACCATTTTCGCAACTAAATGTTCGGCAAATCAATACAAAACCTCGAAGAGATATCTATGCATATTTTTGACGGCTTCGGGAAAAATATTCCTCAAAAAATATTAAGGGCAGTGTGCGAATACAAAACAACCGCGATCACGCATTTAAGCAAAAAATTACTAAAAAATTTAGCTTGTCGGCGAATTGTACATGCAATATTTTAAATTAAAGAAATCGCATTGGAGACGTTTTTAAAGGGTTTTGGTTTTTTCTTAATTTCTTGTGAACACTGAGGGACCCCAACAATTTTGGGGTTTGCGAAAGTACAAAAATATGGCGGTTGGTCGAAGTGCAGATACGAAATATTTAACTTTTTAAAAGTACAACTTCTCCTCAAACAGCACACTGAAAATAAAATTTCGTAAAAGTGCTACGAAAATCTTTCGTAGTGTTGGTTTTTGTACAATGTACGAAACTTTCGTTCATAATACGAACACATTTTTCATAACGAAAGAAGTTTTTACGAACCATATGTAAATATAACGAAAGGACTTTCGTAAGGAATTTTTTCAGTACAATTTACGAAATCTTACGTTTATTTTACGAAACACATTCGTAAAGCACTGAACAAATCTCTATACGAGAGCTTTTGAATATTGTAGGAAAGCATTCGTAATATTTACGTATGGTTTTAGATTTACGAAATCTACAATTCTGTATTCGTACAATTTAGTTAATACTTTCGTATAAAGTACTAATGCGGAAACATGTTTTCTAAATTCGTACAATATACAATTACCGGCAGTTTAATATTTCATCATATTTTTTGTATCGCGGGTCATTGCGGAATTAAGTGTTGGCTGCTGTGAAACGTATAATATAATTTTAAACGTCTTAAAAATGGATTTGCTGGATAAAAAAACAATACAAAATTAAATATTAAACCTGTGGATATACTATGCTTTTAAGCATACAACGTTTTTAACATCGCCTACGCTGCGCCTTGCGCTGCAATGTGGGACTTGATAAATAGGCAATTTCATCAGTTACCTATCAACGGTAAGGGTGGGTACCTCTGTAAATTTTGGTGTGCTGACTCAGTAACTCCAACTCACTTTAATGAGTCAGCACAGTGAGCTGGCACAAGTGTGCTATCGCACAATTGGTATGTACATCGAAATTTTTGATGATGTTAGTAATCGAAATCGATTTAGAAAAGATTATCTTTAGCTTCTGTTCGTAGCTGGCCGGCAAAATGTTAGAAAGCTGGTTTCAACTGGTGAGTTCATTTGCAAAATAATTCCCCTTGGATATATTAACTTCTAGCCCAGTTATGCATACTTAGCTTTGCTTGAGAATCTGTTAAATGGGCTATGCATGTAAGCGGTTACCCAACGCATAGCTGGTATCCCATTTTTGTAAATAGAGCAAGAAATATTGAACTTATAATGGAGTTTTGTTGACACAACTTGACTTTTTTATCGATATTTTCCACACCCATACTTAAAAAAAAATATTTATTTTTAAGTCCATTTCTGTCAGTTTATAATTCCTTGTTATAAGGAAATCCTAAATATCAATTTTGGGCATTTTAGCCTTTGTAGTTAGTTAAATATTTCAGTTTTTGCCTTTTTAAAAATTGCAGTTATATAATAGGGTGGCGTGACAGTAACTGTAAATGACCAATTTTTTCTGAAAAGCATCGCCTATCTTATAATGTACCTTGTGCAAAATTTCATTGATCTATCTTCAATAGTTTTCGAATTACAGAATTAAAAGCAGCTAGATGGGTCAAATCTTACACTATGCGTCAGGAGCAACACGAGCAATGGGTGAAGCCATCTCCTAGTTTGCTCAGGCCTTACGACTCATAGGCAGTGGACCACCGCGTTCGTGGCCCCTTGCTGCACTAATCGAGCTGCCTCCACGGCACAACAGAGTCCGCCTGAGCAACTCAACACAAACACAATCGCACCACAACACAACGCAATAGACAATACCATTGACACAACAGACCACACCACTGATACCATTGCTTCACCACCCACACGCCACCGGCAACAATTCCTAGTTCCTCCGACAATCTGCACCGTGTGTCTGACCAGGATATTCCGTAATGTGACATCAGTCAACTGCAACACTTGCCTTGGCTGGTGTCACTTTAGGGCATGCTCAAGACTGCGCAGCACGCAAGATTGGACGAGGGACTATGAGGGCCCATGCTGTGCTTCTCGGCAGCAATCTCCAACTGCGACGCTGCCCACTAACACCATATGGCAACAGCCACAGCAACAGCAAGCACAGCATGTAGCGGCCCGGCAACACACGTCACTAACACCCCACATTCCAATAAGTCTCCCTAGGCATACGAAGATTTTACAATTTAACTGTAACGGTTTTCAGAGCAAGATGGAGGAGCTAACAGTCTTCATGGGTCGGAATATTAATACTTGCGGTCCAAGAGACGAAGCTGCACGGCAATTCAACATTGTTGAATTGCGCCGGATAGAACGTGTACCGTCGAGATCGCGCGCGAAATAATGGTGGTGGCCTAGCGTTCATCACAGCACACCGTGCAGTATCGTCTTATCGAAGCAGACATCGACCGCAGGGATACCATCCTAGAATGTCAGGGTATTGATCTGGTCAGGCGATGTCGAGCTCGAAATATTTAACGTATATATACCCCCTGCCACCAGCTGCCCGGCAGGATATCACCCTGAAATAGTTGCGCTCCTCAGAGGTGAAAACCGTATGGTAGTTGTTGACTTCAATGCGCACCACGATCTTTGGCATTCAAGCCTGTCAAGCGATCGTAGGGGCACACAATTGGCTGAGCAGATAGATGATTCGACATTCTGCACAATGAACGACGACGCACCCACCAGGATTATGGGCAGCTGCTGCAGTGCTGATCTGTTAAACAGCGTATCATTGCGGCCTATCCTGAATTTAGCATCAGATCATCTGCCCATAATCATCTCGATTGATAAACGAGCCGACTTTGCTTCCGAGGATCACCGGACCTGTGTCAACTTTTCTAAAGCTGATTGTAAAGGCTTCGCGGATGTAACTGAAAGCGCCTTCGCTGCACTACCCACACCAACCGACGTGCACGTGGGTGAGCGTAAATTCCGCAGGGTTGTCACTGCTGTTACAGCCCGCTTTGTCCCAGCGGAATGCATATCGGACCCCCGTCCGTATTTTCCTTCTGAAGCGCAGAGGTGTCATTTTTTAGTAGTCCTGACTAAGACTAAAAAAAATTAATCTTCATTCTTTTTTTTTATGATTCATAAATCACTTTTTTAGTCATTTCTTGTTAGTCACTTGATTTCAGCCATTGGATTGCATTCTTTTTATCACTTTTTGTTAGTCATTTGATTTCAGCCATTGGAATGCATTCTTTAGCAGTACTTTGAATTTTTTTCAGTGACCGAGAACGCGCTCCGGTTTTGGGTTATTCTGCATGACATTACCTATGTCAAAAAATGTGAGCGAAATTCTAAAAAAACTTAATGTTAAGAATGACAGGGACGTCCGCGTTTTGAGATGAGAAATCGTTTCAGTGAAAACCCTATATATATATGGTAGACAAATCTACAGAAATTACTATGCTTAACCGGACCCGATTATTAAAAAAGGCGTACCTTAAATACTACACACCCTTGCCATCTTCGGCCGCAGTAGAAAGACTTTTTTCGTTTGCTTCATTACTGAATACCCCACGCCGTGGAACGTCCTCAACAATTTTGAAAAATTGCTGTTGCTGAAAGTTGAGTGGGACGTATAAATAACTGTACTCATTTGTTTTCTAAACAAATAAGCATTATAATTTTATGAAAAAGTGTACGCAAAGATTGCTTTAGATTTCCATTATTCACCTCGGACTGCAAAAATGACTAATTAGTCATGAAGAACAGAAAATACTAATGACTTCAATTTTTAGCCTTTAGTCAAACATGTGATTGATTGGCTGCAGTTAAAAAATGTTAGTCAGTGAATGTGACTGCAACGATTTAAAGTCACGAAGACTGCATTCCTTCACACCTCTGCTGAAGCGGCTGTCCTAGCCGATGAGCGCGACAAGCTTCGTCAGGCCGATCTCGGAAATCCCCGTATCAGGGATATCAACTCGGAGAATCGGCAACTTGTGAACGTACATTAGCGGAAGAAATGGGAAGAGCATCTAAAAACCTGCAAGTTCGCTTCTGGTGTGAGCAAACTTTGGTCAACCGTGAGGTCATTGTCCAACCAGACGAAGCGTGACGATAGAGCTGAAGAGCGAGCTATTTTAGCCGGTAGTTCGTTTTTCATCCTCCGGTGGATAAAGCCAAACTTCGAGTGCCAAAACCAAGTGTGCTTCTTGTTTTCACCAGCGGTGAGGTAAGGGTAGCCATCGGGAAGGTGAAAGCCACCAAAGCCATTGGACCCGACGGAATATGCATGCTGATGCCGAAAAATATGGGTCCTGCGGGAATAGCGTACCTAACGGAGGTCCTCAATCTGTCAATGGCCGCTCTCGTCATTCCAGACATCTGGAAGATGGGGAGAGTGGTCCCACTGCTCAAACCGGGGAAACCAGCCAACACAGGAGAGTCTTATCGTCCGATAAACCTCCTTTCTTCAGTAGCGAAGACACTAGAGGCCTTGCTACTCCCGTATTTTACGAACCACCCAGCGAAGCATCAGCATGGATTCCGTAAAGTGCACAGCACAACAACAGCACTTAACGCCGTAAATACCGAGATAATTCGTGGCCTTAACCGAAACTGCCCCTGTGAGAGAACCATTCTAGGAGCGATGGACCTGTCTAAGGTGTTCGACACTGTCAGCCATTCAACGCTACTAGAAGACATAGAGGCCTCCTCTCTCCCACAGAGACTCAAACGGTGGTCGGCGAATTATCTGAGTGGTCGTGACTCGTCACTAAC